TTGGAGTGCCCAGCCCTGGGGGTGTCCCAGGAAGGCCTGGCCGTGGCACTCAGTGCTCTGGGCTGGGGACAAGGTGGGGATGGGGCACAGGGGGGATCCATGGGCTGGGAGGGCTTTTCCAACCTCAGGGATTCTGTGACTTGGGCTGAGAGAATTCCAGCCAAGAAGACTTCAGTCATTTTAATAAACTGAGTAGACATAGGAGGGACTTGCCCTAATGGGGAAAGTGCTTTCTCCTTCCTGGAGAAAGCACTGACCTGGCAGCAAAAAGAAGTCAGTGGCTGGAAGCTGAACTCAGAGGTGCTGGGACTGAAGCCGTGGTCAGCCCTGGGATCAGCTCCTGAGGGGGTGGTGAGGGCTTCTCTCAAACTCCAAATGATTCATGTGAACAGGGTGCCAAGAGCAAGGTAGCAGAGGTTTGGAGCACAGGACAACTTCATCCCTTTGCTTGAAGTCCAAACAGCACATAAAGTATCTGCATCCTCCCCCCTTAGCCCAGGTGAGCACAGCTGAGCAGGAGCACTGTTCCTACATCCCTGAGGCAGGAGTGCAGGACCCTGCCAGGGGTACCCGGGGTACCTGTGAGCTGTCAGAGGTTCCTGCCACCCTCCTGAACCTCTTCCTAGTTTGCTGTCAGACCTTTGTTTCATCAGAAATGCCAACTGAGTCTCGTTTGTTCGTCCTTGCAGATAACATCCTCTTGCTGTAGAAATTGCCTGGGCAATGGCTCTTTATGTGGAAACTCGTAGGAAGTCAGTTAATTAATTAGTGCATTTTCTTTAATTAGTGTTGCAGTTTGCAGCTCTGCAAGGTGCCTCTGGCTTACACAGCCCTTGGGGCCAAGGGCAGCTGCCAGGAGGCACGAAGGTGACACGCTGATGGCACAGTCACATTCCCAAAGTGAGGCACACAGCCAGATAATCTGCACCTACCTGCTGCTCCCAGGGGGAGGCTGCACTTCCCTCTCTAATTAGTGTCTGGACAGGTGCCACCTCATCCCTAAATTCACTCCACCACCAGAAGCATTCACAGGCAGGACACAGGGACTGTGCTCGATGTCCCTGAGTGCTGCTGCAGTCTGAGCCCAGCAGCAGCAGCAGGTGGGGCTGCCCTGCCAGCTCAGGATCCCTGTGCCCTGCCAGCTCAGGATCCCTGTGCCCTGCAGGTCACACTGTGCCTGTCCTTTGCATGGGGACAGGTCAGCTGGGACTCACAGACAGCATTTGCTGCCAGATTGTAAAGTACAGAGAGAGCTGGGCAGCTCTTGGTGCTGTGAAGATCACACCTTGATCCTGAGACAGGATTGTGGGGCGTGTGCTGTGTCCTTGGGAAAACCGAGGAGAGGAGGGAGTTGGGGAGCATTCCTGCCACAGAGGGAGGGAGTGGGGTGTGGTGGGGGGCCCTGCAGCCCGTGCTGGCCTTCCCTCTGCACTTGACTCGCCCAGTTCTTCAGGGGACCAAAATCCACGTTAACCCCGAGCTCTTCCTCCTGCCCAGGTCATTGGGATGCACTACTTCTCCCCAGTGGATAAGATGCAGCTGCTGGAAATCATCACCACAGACAAAACCTCCCAGGACACGGCGGCTTCCGCCGTTGCTGTCGGCCTCAAACAGGGCAAGGTCGTCATCGTGGTGAAGGTGAGGGGACAGGGCAC